GAATCAGTTCCAACTCATAGCCACCCTGTTTAAGGTTTCCGAGGAGCAGCTAGTAGGTTTGAACTGCCAACCTAGTGGTTCTCAGGACAGTGCTGCTGTAGACCCTCAAATATCTTTCTATAGTTGGACCATGAAAAAGTTACCCACTTATCTGCACCATTTTATTTGTCCCATCACCACTTCACCCTCTCAACTATGGAAATGCTCCCAGCCTATACTGAGGAATGCTAAAAAAAACAAAAAAAATCAGGAGCTATTTCACAACCTTATGCTCCCACCTTGAACTCTCCGCTCTCAAGATGGGAAGTATCTCTACTTCTCCTGGTGTCTTCTCTTCCTAGAAAGCTCAGAGCCAGAATCTAGGGTTAACAAGCACTTCATGGCACACACTTTATAAACTAACCTCACACCTAATTCTGTCTTTACCATTTAATGTTTATTTCCCCTTTGCCCCATTTTCCCTATTATTGCTCTATTTTGTCTTCTGCATTATATTCTAATGTAACTGACTTAATACCTTTCAGGAATAAGATAGGACATAAAAATAATTCCCATGACATGACCCCAGTTCATATGTTACCCTTGACTTAGCTGTGAGGTGATCCTGAAACCTTTACCTCTTTTAGAATCATAATGAGACCCAGTCTTTGACTCCCAAATGCCATCCCCAGATTAATTTAGCCCTGCTCCTGAGTCTTTCTTTAAAGCGAAGGCTAGGAGTATGTACACAGGGAGGAGGGACCTGTGCAGATTTAGGAAGGGAATGAAAGTGATGCTCACCCCTCACGGCAGCTCCCTGCTTTCTCCAGGACCTCTACCACCAGTCCTATGAGTGTGTGTGTGTCCTCTTCGCTTCAGTCCCAGACTTCAAGGAGTTTTACTCTGAATCCAACATCAACCATGAGGGACTGGAATGTCTTCGGCTGCTCAATGAGATCATTGCTGATTTTGATGAGGTGACTCAGTTATTGCCCTTCCAGTCATGAGACCAATCTTCCCCTTCCCAGCATTCCCTCTCCTCTGATCACCCAACTCTGTCCCCTTCAGCTACTCTAGCCACTACTAACGTACCCTCTCCTGCCACTACTCCATAGTCTACCTCAAAGGCCTGAGGTTGGACTTCTGGGAAAGAGGAGCAGGATTGCTTAGAATGACTGGGGATGCAACCGCCTATCTTTACAGCTGCTTTCTAAGCCCAAGTTCAGTGGGGTGGAGAAAATCAAAACCATTGGCAGCACCTACATGGCAGCCACAGGCTTAAATGCCACCTCTGGACAGGATGCACAGCAGGTACATTGTCTCTTTCTTACCTACCATTCTTCATCTGTACTCTCATTGGTGGACCCATAAATGGACTTATTCCTATTGCCTTCTTGGCCCATCCTGCTGGGCGGCCCATTGCCAGGATGCTGAACGAAGCTGCAGCCATCTTGGCACTATGGTAGAATTTGCAGTGGCTCTGGGGTCTAAACTTGATGTCATCAACAAGCACTCATTCAACAACTTCCGCCTGCGTGTGGGTGAGGACACACCTCCCTTCCTGGGGAGTCCAGCTCCCCCTCACCTTCTCAAGCTCTTCCCCACAAGTCCTTTTTCAGCTGCTCCCAGCTCATCCCTGGACCCCCCTCTGGATTTCCCCTACCGGGTGGGGTGTAAAACTGTTGAGTCAGGAGCTATGAGCTACTGATTCCCTTCCCTAAACCATGTTCCTCCAGCCCCCTCCTCTAAGACCCATCCCCAGTCCTCTTCCTTCTTCCCAGTTCCATAAGCTTCCCCTTTCTTTCTTCTTCCTCAAAGCCCCCAACCTGAAAAACAAATGAAACAAAAGCCCCTTCTCTGCCCCTCCCCTTACCAGGGTTGAACCACGGACCAGTAGTGGCTGGTGTGATTGGAGCCCAAAAGCCACAGTATGACATCTGGGGCAACACAGTCAATGTGGCCAGCCGCATGGAAAGTACAGGAGTCCTGGGCAAGATTCAAGTGAGAGAGCTGCGCTGGAGGCATGGCAGTGGGAGGGATATGTATAGGGCCACCCTACACTACCTTACTGCCCTCCACTTGCAGGTGACTGAAGAGACAGCCCGGGCCCTACAGTCCCTAGGCTACACCTGCTCCAGGCGGGGCATCATCAAAGTGAAAGGCAAAGGGCAGCTCTGCACCTACTTCCTCAACACAGACTTGACACGCACTGGACCCCCCACAGCCACCCTAAACTGACGCCCCCACTCCTGAGGTCCTCAATAAAGAGACTCTGGTGTGTTTGGAGCCAAGGGATGCCAGAAACTTCTGGTAGAGCTGGGGGTCGCCTCCTTGCCCCTCATTTGGACCACTTCTTGAGTGTTTCTGTGTGTGAGTGTGTAAGCATGAGCATGGGGGAGGCTGAGTGTATTGCGAGGCGGATTCTGTTTGAGAGTTCAGGAAGAGGGTTTCTGCCTGCCTGCCAACATGACGCCAGTATGCTGTACACCTTGGAAGCAGTAGGAGTTTTAACCACATGATTCAAAACAAAGTTTTGTTCTTTCCTGTTGCCTATTCACAAATATTGAAAGGAATCTCCAGCGAAATGTCATTTGACCCTCATTCCTTCAACAAAAACTAAATAAGCACCTATTATTATATGCTTGGAGTCTTGGAGCAGCGCTGTGAGTTAATGTGCTGGACTACAAAGTTGGTTTGAACTGCAAGATCAGTGGTTCAAGATCACTAACTGCTCCTTGAAAACCCTATACAGGGTCACTATGGGTCAGAACCGACTCAACAGCACGTAGCAACAATATTATGTGCTTACCATGCAACCTGAGCTAGAGGCCTAGAAAGTATTCTGCTTGTTGTTGTGATGTGCCGTGGAGTCAGTTCCGACTCATAGCAACCCCGTACAGGGTTTCTGAGGTTGTAAATCTTTACCAGAGCAAAAAGCCCCATCTTTCTCCCGTGGAACAGCTGGTAGTTTTGAACTGCTGATCTTGCGGTTTGTAGCCTGATTCATAACACTACACTACCAGAGCTCCTTTCTAGAGGCCTAGAAAGTAATCTGCTAGACCCCTCCTAATTTCAGCTTCTCTTCTCAAATGGGTCAACCAGGCTTTCCAATGAGTACCTGTAGACAATTTGGGGATTTCCCTGTTCTAGGTCTATCAGATGCCCCCTACTCACCCACTCGCTTCTTCCGCATCCTTCTGCAAAGATGCTGATACCATGTGGGTCTTGGAACATCAGTGACTTAGTTCCACTTGCTCATATTTTGGAGCTTATGGGCTAGCAGGACTCCTAGGTGTGTTGTAGATGTAGGACATGGATTTCTGGGTTTGTGTGCCTAGTTGCTCTTTTGGACAGAGTCCAAAAGTACAGGTTTCCACTGCTGCTGCCATGTTTCCCAAGTATTGTAGAGCAGAGCTGGACCAACGCTCTAAAGCAACAGTAACCTCTAGAAAATCATGATGCATTCATTCCTCTCACTTTGGTGAATCATTATTTCTTAGGGGGACTGAGACTACAGACAGCCCTCAACACACACCCTCTGTGTTAAGATCTGATGATTCGACTCTTAAATGCAGCTTCCTTGGGAGATGGGGATTCCCCAGAGCATCTCCTGCAGAGAGGTTGAAGATGATTGATAGGAAGACGGAGAGTCACACTACAAAGATACCTTCACAGGCTTCAGGGTACACGGTGTCAAAGCAGTGCTGTTTTCTCAGAAGATCCCCTGAGTAAGGAAGTCCAGTGATGAGACGACTTTGGTAGTCTTTCAAGGACTGGATCAGCTCCTTTAGGGATCTTAAATTCACTGCCATGGAGTCCATTTGGCCCCATAGTGACTCTATGGGACAGAATAGAACTCTACAGGGTTTTTGAGGCTGTAAATCTTTATGGAAGCAGACTGCTTCATCTTTCTCCTGTAAAGCAGCTAGTGGATTCAAACCATCAAACTTTCTGTTAGCAGCCCAACACTTAACCCACTGTACCACCTGGTTTGTTTTAGTAGTCTGTAAATCAAACCAAACCAAAATACCCACTGCCAGTGAGTGAGTCATAGCAGGTTCAACTCCTAGCAATCCTGCAGGACAGAGTAGACTGCTCCCATAGGGTCTCCAAGGCTGTCAATCTTTAAGGAAGCATTATTGCATCTTTTTCCCATGGAGTAGCTGGCGGGTTCGAACCACCAATCATTTGGTTACCTGCTAAGTGCTTTAACCAATGTAAGTTGGTTGGTTGTGTGCCGTGCAGTCGGTTCCGACTAACAGCGACCCTGTATAGGGTTTCCAACACAGTAAATCGTTACCGGAGCAGAAAGCCTCACCTTTCTCCCATGAAGTGACTGACTGGCAGATTCCAACTTCAATCAACAGCCCAGTTTGTAATCCACAAAGTGCCTCAGAATCACCGGAGGGGAGCTGGGATGATTTCTATGTTCATCGTTAGGTCTCAGAAGTGGCATAAACAGTTCGTGTTTGACTACTAACCTAAAAGTTAGAGGTTGGAACCCACTCACTGACACCACAAAAGAAAGGTCTAGCAATTTCATCCACAAAGATTACAGCCAAAAACACGATGCATCAGTTCTACTTTGTGACGCCTGGGGGTTACCATGAGCGGAAAGTAAATCAACTCCACCACAACGGCTTGGTTTTTTCAGTTGTGATTTTATTTATATTTTGGGTCTTCTTAGAGTTGAAAATCATAGGAATCTAAAGGTTGTGACTCTCGATTAGCAAGAGTGATCGTATCAGGGCTACCCATAAGCAATCAGTTCCCAATCACACACAAGCCCCGATAACAGGACTGACCCAATTTCAGACTTCAGTTTTCATTGTAAAGCTGCCAGTGGGAGCCAGAACCAAGCATGCCTGCTCAGTCTGCGGCCACTTGACCTCTATCTCTTCTGCTCCTGTCCTCATGCGCATTCTCCTGGCAGGGAGTACAGAATTGGGTCAGGCCTAGGTGAGGGCGTTCCACCAGGAGGAAATCCACCGTCCTTTCACCACCGCCACCTCACACCTAGCTCAGTTCGCCTCACTCAGAGGGTTGGAGGAGGCAGCAAGACTCTCAGTGGGGCCAGGCTCAGGAGAAGTGGGGGCGCCTCTTGCTGTCTGGCCCAGGGTGCCCCCGCGGCGGGCGCTGGATGCCTCGGAACCTGTGCCCTCCAGCAACTTGGCAACGAAGCCCACACCCGCGGAGCGCAGCAGGCCGCCACCAGCGCACGCGTACAGCACGGGGTTCACGCTGCTGCTCAAGAAGGCGAGAGTGATGAGCACCCTGCGGGCGAGGTTCAGCTGCTGTCCTGTGGATCCAGAATTGTGGGCCAGGCCTGCCAGCGCGCGGGCTGCCTCGGCCAGGTTCACCAGGTGGTACGGCAGCCAGAAGGCTGCGAAGGCCAGAATGATGAGCACCACCAGGCGGCCGGTGCGGCGGCTGCGGCGGAAGCGCCGGGCCTGCAGCCTGCGCCCGATGTCCGAGTAGCTGGCCACCACGGCCAGAAAGGGCAGCAAGAAGCCGGTGATGGTCTCAAAGAGCAGATGGAAGGCCCTTTGGTGTTCGGTGGAGTATACCACTGTGCAGAACCATATGTTCATTTTCCCGGGAACCAAAATCACACTGCGGTACACGAAAACGGGTGTGGCCAGCAGCACAGACGCCACCCAGATGCCTGCCAACACCCAACAGGCCATCGCCTTTGTGCGCAGCTTCTGGGACAAGAATGGGCGAGCCACGGCCAAAGAACGGTCCAGACTCATGGCTGTGATAAGCAAGACGCTGGCATACATACTGACCCCACAGACATAGAAGCAGAGGCGGCAGCCAATCACTTCAAAACCCCAGGTGCCTCGGGCCACGAAGGAGAGAAAAAAGGGAGCAGTGAGCAACACAGCCAAGTCAGCCAGGGCCAAGTTCAGCACCAGCAGGGCAGTGACAGAGCGCTTCCGCATCTTTGCCAGGATGCTCCACACTACGAATCCATTGCCAGGAAGCCCCACAACCAGTGCCACTGATAGTAAAGTGATGGACAGCTGAGTGATGAACACATTTCCTGAAGATGCAGGCGCAGGAGATGTAGTGTTTGTGGCCATTGTAAGGACCTGGAGAGCAAGAGTGGATATGCCCATGAGGGAAGGGGACCAAGGGTTTCCTGAATACCCTGGTTTGTCAAAGGCACTTTGGCAATGCCCTATCCTCTTCACCACCAATTGACCTTTTGGATCTGGCTCCGGAAAGAAAAGATTGGTTTCCTAACCAGGCCATGGGGCCCCTTCCTGCCCACAGACCCACTTGCAAAATCTACAGCAATAGCAACAACTGCAGCAGCAGCAGATTTTCCAGACCCTTTCAGCTGCTTTCCATTAGGAACCTTGAAGCCCCGAAACATACCTGAGGGCTTCGCTCACATTGCTGCATCCCTTGAAAGGCTAACAGTCTAGATGCTCTGTCCTCTATCAGGACTTTAGCCTCTTCAGTCCCATCGACTTCCTCCAGCCACCTACCCACTGTCTCTCTCTCTCTCTTGAGTTGTCCAATGTCCACCCGAGATAGGATGAAGTTAGTGGACTTACAGTGAAAATGAATCCTCCCAACCCCTTTTATCACTGGCTAGGTTCCCCTTGTACCTTCTCTCACGGCACTACCCTGATATAACTACCACCACCATTCCCAGGATACTCACAGGCTTTGCCAAGAGTTGGTTGGACGCTGGTGCCAATCCCAGAGTCTGCGCAGGGTGATGTGGTCTATCCCTGGTTCTGTTCCAGTGCCAGGGGCCTAGCTCTGGGTCTGGGTGCTGTCAGCTAAATCAGCCAGAGAGGAAGTACCACGGAGTAGGAGGTAGGGGGAAGACGCATCTTCCTGAGGGTGGGGCTGAAACCCCCACCCGCTCCCTTCACTGGTGGAAAAAATAATAGCCTTTGATTCCAGGAGAACGCAGTGGAGAAGAGAAATCCTCAAGGGTGGAGCCAGATGAGAAGAGCCCAGAAAGGGGCAGCCAGAGGAAACTGGGTGGGGGGAGTGAATAGGCTGGGGTGTGGCCCCAAGATGCAGGTCTAGACTGGAGAATTGGACAGAGTAATAAATTGTGTCATAGAAGAAGGGAAGGAAGCAAAAGAGGTGAACAGAATCAGATTGAGAGGCCAGAATTCTGGGTCTTTTTTTGTTTTTTCATGAATAATGTAGATTTTTAGATTAATAGGAAATGTAGCTTGGAGTTGTGGCCAGGCTCTGGGTTTGGGTTAGGTAACATCATAACTTAAAGAAGCATGCCAGTAAATGCCAATGTGAGCAGCATCCTGCCCTTGGCTTCAGTTCAAGCCATGAGCAAGCACGGAGGGGTGGGAGGGAAGAGTCCTCTTCCAGCAACCCCCACCCTCCCCTCATTTCAGGTGATTACTTACACATTTTAGGCCAACCAATTCTCTATTTTCTTTAGTGGAAGCCAGAACCCCAAAATCTAATCAAACACATTGTGGAGTTCTTCCCCTTGCTCAAGCACGTGCCTTGTGTATGCCTGTGTGGTTTCCCTGCCAGAGTGGAATTTGAGATCTGAGGATAAGCAAGAAGGTATGGCGCCACTTTTTTTCCATCCACTTCCACCTTAGTTGTACAGAGAAAGAAGACAATGGGCTGAGCATTTGGGGCAGGAGTAAAAGAGCAGGAGCAGTAATAGATGCCCATGCCTACCCTGCCAAGAGGAAAACCAGGGTGTAGAAAGACAACCACTCCCAAAGGGTCACGTCCCCCTTCCTAGGAGGACACACTTTCACAGAAGTTCAGAATTGGAAAGTCCTTCCTACAATCTGACTATGAACCCCCTGACTTCACTGCCAACACATTTCCTCTCTTCATTTCTCAGGAAAGATGCAGAATGTAATGGTAGTCACTTAGTTCCCCAATCCTTTCCAGGGACCCCACTTTCTCTGCTTTGAGAAAAGCAAAAGCAGGTTGATTCGGTAGCAGTCAGGCAGAGGCTATGATGAAAAAAAAAAAAAAAAAGGGCTGAAACCACAGCAAGAACTGAGGTCAGAGTTGAGGAAGGGCTTTCTGACAACATAGGGTGGATATGTGACAGAGGAAGTTAGGGAACCTCTGTCCCAGCACATGAGGACAGGAGGAAACCCCAGAAGTCTGCATCTGAGGATAGAAACTTTTTGACTCAAGAATCAGCCTGAAGCTTCTTCAGACACTGCGTTGTCTCTGCCTCTCCTCCTGAGTTTCTCCCCACCCCCCTCTCCCTTGTTCCCCTTGCTTCCTCCACCTAAGGCTAGATTCGCTAAGCACACTACCTACCCACGAGTTCAAAACTCTACCCCAACTCGTTTTGTGCTACACAGTGGCCCTGGAGTGACCCTGAGACCTAAATTCCCTTTGCTCTCTCTTGACTTCTGCCTGGGTGTGTGAACTGTCACTAAAGTAGGAACAGGGTGACCACTAAAGTGAATCACCACTCAGTTGGCCAGAGATCAAGGGAGTTACTGAAATGCAGGGTTTTCAGTGTTAAAACTGAGCAACTCCAAGGAAAATGTGGATAAGTTGGTCACCCTAGTGTACATGGATGTCCCCTGAAGAGCCCCTCCCTATATCCCCAAACTCAAAAAAGTGCCAAAGAACCAGGTCACCTGGGCTGGGGAGGTCAGATCCCCTTCAGATGCCACTGAAGGCTGGGAACGCTCAGCCCTGGCCTGACCCAATCAGAGAACCAGGTGGCTTCAGTACAACTCCACCAGGGGGAGCACTCTTAAACTTGGTCTAATGGCTGCCGGGTGTATTTCACAACCATAGCTATTGGCAGCAGGCAAACAGTTCTGTCTGACACATGGGCACATGTCAACCTGTAAGCACACAATACTCACTAACGTTGACCATCACTGCCTTCACAATCCTCAGTTTTGAGGATCCTGCACCTGTCCCAGGTATATAATAATTCTGTCCAGCCAGACTGCGGTCAGAGAAGGGTACCCCAAACAGTTTGGAGGAGTTCCCAGAATCCTGAAGGGTTATAGAAGGGGTTGGGAAAGAGCAGACCCAGGTATAGGTTTTGGTATCAAAAAGGTCTCATCCCTGACTGTCCTTTTCCACCCTACCCCTGGTGTCCGCATTGCTGTGACCCTGTCCCATCACTTTTAGCCGAGGGGTAGCTCGAAGTTCCATGGTGCCCTCTCTAGAGCGGCTGCCTCCTAGGGCCTCTCCAGAACCCTCGAAAATCCGCATGAGGAAACGAGGACCTGCCCGGGGCAACAGGTCCCCAGCGGTGAACACGTAGAGCACGGGGTTGACACTGGAGCTGAAGAAGGCCAACGCTGTAGTTCCTGCTCGTGCAGCTTGACCTGCCCCACCGAGCCTCGCCAAAGTCCCTTCCTGCGGACCCAGAGCAGCGATCGCCTGCAGAAGGTTGACCGCGTGGTAGGGGGCCCAGAGCAAGCCGAAGGCGAGTACAATGGCACTCACTAGTCGGCCCACCCGCGTCTGGTGTCGCCTTGGGCCCCAGCGGCCGCCCCGCAGCCGCGCCAGCGTCACACTGTAGCAGCCAAGAACCAGCCCAAAGGGAAGCATGAAGGCGGTCAGCGTCTCCAGGCCAAGATGGGCAGCGGCATGACTCGCCGTCGGGTGGCACAGCTGGCACACGTTGTTAGCCCAGAGGTGACGGTAAACAGCAGCCGGGATGGCGAGCAGCAGGGCTGTCAGCCAGACAGCAAGCAACAGGCGTCGGATCAGTGCTGGGCTACGCAGCCGGGGCGCCAGGAAGGGGCGGGTGACAGCTAGGCAGCGCTGCAGGCTGAGTAGACTGGTGAGCAGGACGCTGGCGTACATGCTGAGTGAGCACACGTAGTATACAGCCTTGCAGCCAGCCAGGCCCAGTGGCCAACCCTGCCCTGTCAAAAAGGCCACAAAGAACGGCGTGAGCAGCAGCACTGAGCCGTCGGCTAGCGCCAGGTGCAACACAAGTGTGGCCGCCAGTGGCCGCCCTCCTGCGGGCCGCCAGCCCACCAAACTCCACACTACGAAGCCGTTACCGGGCAGCCCCAGCAATGCTGCCAGCAGCAGGAAGGCGGTGCCTGTAGCTCTCGAGGCCTGGGAGCTCAGCAAGGTCTGATTTCCCGGAAAACTGTAGCAGAGCATTCTTGTGTGCTGTGGGAAGCTGGAAAAGGGCCATAGAAAACCACGGGTGGGGTAAAAGCCCAGGTTACCCCTAATGTCAGGGGAACCAGGGCTTTACCTCCCACCACCCCTTACAGCTCCCTTGAAGACCCTAGGCCCACTAAAGCCCTTACTTCTTGGAACCCAGATCCCCTGCTCCCCGATAACTGACCTACCTGGTTTCTGAAATCTTCCCAGAACCCAATGATATCTAGACTCCCAGTCCTGACTCCCAGGTTATTACCACCTCCAGCCCTCTAGCTTGAACCCTCCTTTGTCCATGGGGTAGTAAAGGCACAAGGGAATATCCACTTACCCAGTTGGGAACAAGAAGTGTTTGGAGCCCACTAGGGGTCTGGGGAAGCTGAAAGGTGAAGCAGCAAAGGACAAGGTGCCTAGTCTCGTCTTGTGCCTGTCACATCGCAGACGGTGAGACGAGAATGGGGAGAGACTAGGTAGACCTCATCCTGGACCTTTTTCTGGGGCCCCTCCCTCACTCCACTCCTTCCCATCACTAACAGGTCTAGGCGTGTGAGAGCCTGCCTCCCCCAGGAAACAGGATTAGCTGAAGGAGTGCAGAGAGAGCTCCCTGTTCATGGAGGTGAGTAGGGGCACCCTACTGAATACTGATTTGAAGTCTTGCTTCTGCTCACATCCCCCCAGCCTCCACTTTCTTAGGGGGCAGGAGATGCATCCAGGTATAAGGAGCTTATAACTTGGCTGGGGAGTCACAGCACAGTGCCCACCTACACCAGAGCATTAAACAGGAATAAAGGAAAGAGTGCAGTGGTAGGAAACTCGGGTGGAGAGGTCAAGCAAACTTGAAAGTGAAGAGATTTCAGAAGAAACTAAAAGATGAATAGAGTTGAGAGAAGGGGAAACAATCAGTCCTGGGGTTCCTTAGAAGCCAGGACACCAGGAGCATTGTCCAAGCAGAGTGTGAGTTAATGGCGTGGGTGCAAATAAGAATGTGTTTGGGGTGGTCAGCTCAAGAAGCAGGAAGATAAAGGTAATGGGAACCCCCAAGCAGCATACATTAAGGCAATCCAGGAAGACATTTACCCCAGTTCCCATTGTTCGAGGGTTGCCCCAGGGGCATTAAGCCCCATACACAATTCTAGCTTGTACTTGTCAGAGGTTGAAAGCACTGCTCGGCTTCAGACAAAACTCCTAACAGGAAAACGGAGAGACTTGTGCTCATTTGAGAAGTTTATTGTCCATTGAGAGTCTAGGCTTCCTTGTAACTTTCCATCAGAGTTACAGCTGAAATCAGACATGGAATGCAGGAGACTCGAAGCTGAAGTTCCGAAGCCATCAAAGGAACTCCCCAACCCCTAACCCCAAAGTTTCAAATCTCCTTCATGTACATTAAGTGGCAGGAAAAAGGTAAGAGAGAAGGTGAATGAGGCCAGAGAAATGTTGAGCCAGCCCTCCCCTAGACTCTGAGGAGGAAAGCTGGAAGGTTAGAATCTTGGTGACTTGACTTCAAAGAATCATCCTGACTTCAGTGGACAGCAGCAAAGCCATCCCCTCCTCACACCCTACCCAAGCATACTCTCATTTTCTCCAAGCCCTGCCCATGTCCCATCCTGTGTCCCAGCCTCCCTTTTCCTAAAGCTGCAGCTAATGGTTTTTCCAGTAGGTGGCAGTATATACTGCACTGCTCTCATAGATTCTCAGAGGCTGTTGCTGTTAAAGGTGCCTTCCTGTCAGTTACAACTCATATTAACCCTGTATAGGTTTTCACTGGACTGTGCTCCACAAGGCCAGCAGTTCAAACACAACAGCTGCTCCTTAGAAACCCTATGTTGCTGTTAAGTGCTGTTGAGTCCGTTCTGACTCACTGACTCATAGAGACCCTGTATAGGGTTTCCAAGAAGCACCTGGTAGATATGAACTGCCAACCTTGTGGTTCGAAGTCCAATGTTAATCTTACAGCACCACACCAGGAGTCCTGGAAAACCTATACAGGGTCAATATGAGTCAGAACCAACTCAAAGGCACTTAAGAATAAAAACTACATGGTTTCTGAGGGGAAACTGGTGAGTTTAAGCTGCCAGCCTTTCAGTTCAGTGCTTATCCTAGCCAGAAACTGTCCCTAGAAATGTCCTTCCAAAGAAATAAAAACACCAGTGGTTACATGCCACCCTCTTACATAGTTGCCATTCACTCTGAAAAAACATCCCACATCAAGCTTCCGTGGCCTTTTCTGTTAATCTTGGGCCTTAATTCTTCATCCAGGACCCCATCTAGGCCCTTCCCCCTTACCCTCCCTTTGGACTTTGCCCTTCTTACAGGCCAGGCCAGGAGGCCAGAGTCCGGGATTGACTCACCACCACTTGACTGGGGCTGAGATTCCAGCTTTGTAACAGAAAACACCCAACACCGACACTTCAGACCCAGCAACCACCCAGCCCAGACCTCACTGGAGAAGGGCCACCTCCTCTGCTCCTTCCCTTCACCATGGAGTACCTCTCGGCCCTGAATCCCAGTGGCCTGCTCAGGTGATTTCTAACCCTCCTGTCTACCCTCGAACTCTGAGGATGAGGCTGGGCAACAAAACCCTGCTGAGACCCTTCCTCATTCCAATCCCATTTCCCATGAGCTAGACCAGCTCCTCACCACCACCTGCCCCCACTACCCCTTAACACCTCTTTCTGCTTCTCTTATCTGTAAACCTAGATCCTTCCCCACTCCCTAACTCTCTGGCTACCCACCCCCATGGCATTCAACAAGCCGGCTCCTCCTTGCTTGTCTTGAACTTTCTTCCCAACTCCCAGGTCAGTATCTAATGTGAGCTCGGAGGTTGGACGTAGGGTCTGGAACTCTGCTCCACCACCCCAGAGACCTTTCCGTGTCTGTGATCACAAGCGGACCACCCGGAAAGGGCTGACAGCTGCCACATGCCAGGAACTGCTAGCCAAGGTGAGTGGACTGACTCCCTGGGTTTGGATGGTACGGGCAGCCAAGGGACTAGAGAGCAAAAGAACTTGAAATGGTGGAGCAGGAAGGCCTAAGGGACTAAAAGGAGGTGTGTGAGCCAAATGGCCTCTGCTGAATTTGGGTGAATTTGATTGGAGTGGAGGAGCAGTGGGTAAGGAGAGCTGGGTGGATGGAATGGAACTCAAGTGCCTGGACTAGTGGGACAAAACAAGATCAAATCCTGATTCTGCCTCTTTCTAGATGTCAAGCCTTGAGAAGTTATTCAGCCTATGAAAACCTATTTCCTCATCTATAAAAAAAAACCAGTAATAATACACCTATCTCCTAGGGTAGTGAAAAGAAATCAAAGATAATATATATACAGTGCTATGCACATACCTGGCACATTGTAATGACTCAATATAAGTTAATGCTATTACTAAAAACAGTTCGGGAGGACTCAGTGAGGGTAAGAGAGAACGAAGCTCTGTAGATAAAACAGAATGGACTTCACAAGAACTGGCAAGCTTTTTGATTCTAAACCAGTAGGAGTGTCTAGAAGGAGATGACAATGACATGGTAGTGGCAAAGCAGAAGGAAACAGGAAAGGTCAGCCCCTAGTAAGGGTCCCCCAACTAAAGATGACTGAGAACTGCAACCTTTAGAAGGGATGTAGAGTTGGGACAAGAACCAATTTCTAGGCCAACAGAGGGACGTCTTGTAGCTGGAGGGGAGGAGCCTGGGATAAGCCCCGTCCCCTCCTCCTGCTTCCTGCCACTGCCTAGGCACTGGAAACCCTGCAGTTGAGTGGAGTGCTAACACTGGTGCTGGAGGAGGATGGGACCACTGTGGAGAGTGAGGACTTCTTCCAGCTATTGGAGGATGACACGTGTCTGATGGTGTTGGAGGCAGGGCAGAATTGGAGCCCTATCAAGGTGAGACCTACCCTGAGGTTGTATTGCCAACCCACATTGACTTTTATAGCTCTCCCCAGCTTCTTCTCTAGCCTAACCCTGCTCTTGGGCAAGAGGCACTGCAGAGCTGTGGACTTGTCAAGGCCATCTTCTAGTGGACAGACAGTCCAGGCAAGGGTTTGTCTGACCCAGTGCTGACGGGGAGGAAGGATGGATGTCAGGGTGAAAGGGTTTGTTGCACTGACTTGGGTACTCAACAGAGCAGGATGCTGTCATACGGCCTGGGCCGAGAGAAACCCAAGCACAGCAAGGACATCGCCCGCATCACTCTTGATGTGTATAAGCAAAACCCCCGAGACCTCTTTGGCAGCCTGAACGTCAAAGCCACATTCTATGGGCTATATTCCATGAGTTGCGACTTTCAAGGACTCGGCCCGAAGAAAGTACTCAGGTCAGAGATCAATATGCCACACTTGCCCCTCCCCTACAGTTGGGTGGTGCGTATAATTCTCCTACACCTGCCTACCCCCAGTTAGCTCTTGCTTGTGGAAGGTCTCCCCAGTATTCCCCTACCCATCTGACTTTCCTTCATCTTTGCCCTCCAGGGAGCTCCTACGTTGGATCTCCAAGCTGCTTCAAGGCATAGGCCATGTGATGCTGGGCATTTCCTCTACCCTGCGCCATGTAGTGGAAGGGGCCGAGCAGTGGCACCGGCAGGGCCGCCTCCATGAATACTGAGTGGGTCTCTGAACTTCTGCCTCATTCTTCTTCCAAAAGACACAAACTGGAACTGGGACAGCATCAGGCTTCCGGACTGGGGCAGACACTACAGGCTAAGTCATTGATCTGATTTCCCCACTGTCCTCTGGTCCACTATGGCAGGAGCCACCAGCACAAAGCCTGCACCCTTTCCTGAAGAACGCTGCCCCAGCTCAGCCATGTTTCCAGCCTTCCACTTGCCCTGAAAGGCTATGTACATCTGCCCCCTATGTACACCTTGATCCCACCCTGATGGCTACATCTAGGTTCCTTACCAGCTCCTCTCATTCTGTCTGTAAGCTGCCCCGCACACTGAAGAAAAGTCCTCTATGACTTTACCTTGATTCTTTGTACTCCCCCCTCAAAAAATAACAAGAATATTTCTAATAAAAACATAAAAACATTTATCAGTAAGACTTGGACTCCAATTCAAACCAAGAGAGACGTAGGATAAATACTCCCTTTTCCTTCCCCCATCAACACTCAGTCACAGATGCAAAAGCTTCATTCAGTCTTCAAGTATTGAGTTCAGGACCCGCCTCCGCTTGGCCACTGTCCCCTGCTGCTGTTCCCAGGCCTCTCGCCGCTTCAGGAAGGTAGTCAAGGCCACATTTCGAGCCACATGGTGGCCAAAAGGATCTCTGATCAGCTCTTGGTTCCGCTCCCCTGCAAAAGGAACCATGTTCAGTATCACTATACAGTATCCCACCTACTCATGCTTGAAGAAGGTCTCTTCATTTTCCCCTGGGCCTGGGCCTGGGCCTGCCTCTAGGATACAGCTAACATCTCTCTCTCTAAATAATGAGGAGGAGAAGTGGGATTCCAGGCCTCACAACAGCAGAGGGGAAGAGGGAGAGATCAGATTTCTGAGAATCCATGGCCTAGATCATCCTTTGGACCTGAAGTCTCTGCTGAGTTTAAGTCCACTCCCAAACACCCAGCTACCTGGAAAACTATGGTGGCGGTGGTAGTGGTTATATGCTGTGGAATCGGTTCCGACTCACAGCGACCCTGTACAGGGTTTCCGAGGCTGTAAATCTTTACAGGAGCAGAAAGCCTCATCTTTCTCCCGCGGAACAGCTGGTAGTTTCGAACTGCTGACCTTGCGGTTTGCAGCCCGATTCGTAACCACTACGCTACCAGAGCTCCTTGGAAAAGTATAGAAAAGTCAAAAAGAGGCTTTAGTACTCACCCAGTTCAGCTGCAATTTCCTTCCGAGCCCCCAAGGCTGCTCCATTCCAGATGGCATCTAGCACACGGCTGCCATGGCGACTACAAGCTAGGGCCACATATTGTCCCTGAATAGAGATAAACAGAAAGCTCCCTTAGGGTAGTACAAGAAAGTGGTACTGCAGGAGGTGGAAGCGAGGACTGGAGTTTCCAAAGAGTTAGAGGCTGAGTCCAAGCAGTCTAGGAACTACATATCCTCTGCCTCTGAAGGAATCACCCCAGGGGACGCTCATAGTCTTTAAAGGGGAGACAGACACTAGACGTCTAACCTTTAGGATCTGCAGCAAACGGCGGCGCTGCTTTCGGGTCACAGAGGGGCTGGTGAGAACAGCATCAAACACGTGGGAGCCAGCAGGGCTTTGGGCCAGAGACAGGAGCTGTGGCCCTGTCAAGGCACCCAGACTTCGAAGCACAAGACCAGGGGTAGAGAAATGCAGCAAATGCTGGAGCAGTAGAGACCCAAGGACTGTCACTTCCCCCAGGGGCCTGGCCTCCGCCTTTTCCACCTGAACGGACAGGGACAGGAAATTAGGAGACACCAACCAGAGGGATGAGCCCATGCCCAGGACACTGCCTTCTCCACCTGGATGAGGTCAACAGATCTCACCACCCTACCCTTATGTCAGGGGCAAACAGTCTCCCAAGTCCTGGGCAACCTGACCCCCGAATGAGTCAGAAGCTTGGCCTTTCCCCTACCTCACCTGGTGCTCGGCAGGCACTGCCTCCTCCTCCTCCATCAGTTCATAGTACACCTCATAAGCCATCAAAGTGGCAAAGAGAGGCACACAGGCCACTTGCCGGGATGATGGCTCTGCACAGTGGAATGCCTAGACAGTGAGATAAAACAGGAGTCTGAAACCACCCCACTCCTAACCCAGACTTGCAAGACAGGGGCAAACACTGGAGAAAAACAAAAAGGCCTAACTCTACAAGAAGCCCAAGTTCCATGAGGGCAGCATCTCATCTCCCTTTCTGTATCCCCCTACATACAACAGAGGCTGACTGTGCAATTACTCCTTAAATAAACTTCTCAAAGTTCGGAATTGTCAGTCTAAGGCTATGAGATGGGTTTCTGGTCTTATAGTCCCCTGTATCTGTGAATGCTCTGGGCATTAGACCTCAATCTTGAGTTCATTAAAACACTGAGTGATGAGTTAGTTAAGTTAAGTGCCGTCGAGTCGGTTCCGACCCATAGCGACCCTGTACAGGGTTTCCGAGGGTGTAAATCCTTACGGGAGTAGAAAGCCTCATCTTTCTCCCGCGGAGCAGCTGGTAGTTTCGAACTGCTGACCTTATGGTTCGCAGCCCAATTCGTAACCACTACGCTACCAGAGCTCGTAGGTAAGTCCTAATAGATAGAATCTGGACCAGGGACATAATTGGATTGTAGGTGACACTCACCTTCAACAACAGCTGCAGGACCTGGGCTTGGTGGGCCCCAACTCTACGGCAGGCCCCTACGAGGGCAACAACTACTCCTGGGTGGCCCTGAGCCAGCACAGCTTCCAGGGCAGGGCTCAACTCTTCAAACACAGGAGACAGCTGAATGGAGACATAAGATGAAGAACTTTGGGCACTTTGGTAAGGGTAGGATAAGTTATTCAAAGAAATCTCCATGCTAAAACCAAGCAAAAATGCTCAATAAAACACTGAAAGCACTGCCTCAAAAGCAATGAAGAAAAGCCAGTTTAATTCAGTCTCTTGAGTACTCTTATCTTTTAAAAAGAAAGAAAGGAGACTGTACTAGGTTTTAAGAGACTTAAAAAAGCATCGTAACAACCATATGTAATATAATGTCCTAATCTGCACAATCCAGTTACAAAGGGCATTTTTGGGGAAACTAGACATTTTGAATATGGACTGGATATTAGACATGATGAAACTTATCACTAAAAGTAGAGACTGATATTTGAAAAGGCAGGTTACCAAAAAACATACATCTGACCCCAATTGGGTAAAAAAAAAAAAAAAGAAGAAGACGAAGACATATACACAGAAAGAATAGGAAAAATCAATAGTGTTTTATGTAACACTAACAACAATAACTTTTGCATAGACACCGACTTGGTCCAGTTCCTTACTCACCAGCTCAGGAGTAGTGACAGCATCTAGCAAGCGCTGCAAAGGGAAGTTGGCAATGGGATGTGCAGCCAAGGCCTGCAACTGCTCCTGGAAATGATCCTCAAAGAGGCTCTGCAGCCTTGGGGGCTCCAACACCAGCAGCACCTGTTCCAAGAGTCGAGAACTTGTCTGATCCCGCAGAAACAGCAGTAGAGGGCTAAGGACAAGAAGACAGAGATCAAGCAGTGTAACTCTACTTCAATCCAAAATACAATTATATCACATCACCCCATTCATTCCACACAGCTGCATCAACCTTGGTTGACTCTAAAGGCCTGACCATACCTGCCTTCTGCTGAGGAATTGCGAGTACTCAAGTAGCCAATCACAGCACTGCAGAGATGGGCACAAAGCGGGGGCAGTTTGCGGTGTAAGATCTGTAAGGCCACTTGAAGACAGAAGCTGGAGATTTTGTCAGTGATGAACACTATGGGAGAGAGCAGAAATAATAAAAGCAGCTTTCTCAAAATCCATACAACCAGTGCAACCTCAATCGTTAAGAAACACAGTACCAGGGACTATCGACACAATGGGCCTTTACAGAGTGCTTTATAATATGAAACGAGATCAAGCTTGAAAAGACAAACAAGGCTGATCTACATATGGGCCTTGTCTGAAGGCAAGTACTTCTAGAAAAATATCTTTTTCTCCCTCTTTCCTCCTTACCAGCAATGTCCTTCAGAAAGCAGGTGCTCAAGTCCTGAAGACGATTCAAGAAGGTTTCAGGGACCTCAAAATCAGTTGGTTTACATTCCCTTTGCACTTCTGAAGGAACATCAAGAACATATGCTGTGGTGAGATTACAAACTGCCTTCCAGGAGGGAGATGAATTCCACTGATGGACGAAGATTCAGCTTGGGGACACAGAGCAGATGTGGTATGCCTGAATGTCTCTTCTCATCTTGATGACTCAACTGAGACTAGATCACTGTTTAGATTTTTCTAGCAAACTTCAGCTCCCCTATGGTCCATAGGAACTAGTCCAAACTCCTCAATCTGGTATTCAGGCCTAAATCAGTCCTCATCTCAATTCTCTAACCTTGTTTTTCAAAACTTTAAGTCACAGCCTATGAATGTAACATGAAATCAATTTAATGCATCTCAATCAGCATTTTTTTAATAGAATGTTGTTGAGTGCCATCGAGTCGATTCCAACCAATAGCGACCCTGTATAGGGTTTCCGAGGAGCAGCTGGTGAGCTTGAACTGCCGACCTTGCAGCTCAAACGGCTTTGCAGTCTGGCGTATTAACCCACAGCACCATGCCAGGAATGGGGCAGAATAAAAATTAAAAAATGGAAACCAGGGAAAAAAATATCAGAGTGGATTACATGTTAATAATCCTGAACTTTTGTTTGTATATTGTTGTCGTTGTGCCATCTCATTGTGGCCCTGTTTAGGGTTTCTGAGGAGCAGCTGGTAGGTTTGAATCACCGACCTGGTGGTTAGCAGTCCAATGTTTACCCTACAGCATCACATCAGGACTCCATCTATACATATGTGTAGTATTATGGTTATGCACTGGGGCGCTAACCAAAAAGTCAGCAGTTCAAATCTATCAAATGCTCCACAGGAGAAAAAAATGAGGCTTTCGGCTCCCGTAAAGATTTACTGCCTTGGAAACTCTATACAAAGTCACTACACTCAACATCACACAATCACCACCATACTGAATCCTGTCTAAATACTTTTTCATATTGTGGATTGTGGTTTATTTAAAAAAAAAAAAAAAGTCTGAAATTCATTGCTCTGTATGAATTCCTCCCCCACCCCTCACCCCCAGCCTTAGGCCTCAGCACACTCTAATCTTTGGCCTGCTAAAGCCATCCTAATTTTCCTAATTTCTCTGTTAAGTCTTTGGGGTCAAACTGCCCCAGGAGGACTTCCTCTCCTTTGGAACTTCCTAAACTTTCCTCTCTTGTAATACTTACCAGAAGATTGGGATCCACGCTTGGCTCTCTCAGATTCCAGAAGGGTCCCTCCTAACACCTGCAGTAGAGTCCTGACCACGAAGCTGCCATGTGTGTCTCCACAGTAGAAAAGAAAGTCATCACACACTTCAGCTGCTAGTCCCAGGACCAGCTCCTCCAGGGTCTCCATGGGACCATCCTTTTCATCTTCTTCCTCCTCCACGTCCTCCACTGCAGGGCTCCCCAGCAAGCGAGGCAGCTGCAGCAAAGCGCTTTGCAACACATGGACCCCACACCGATGACAGGCAACAAAGCGCAAGTTGGGGTGCAGAACAGTCCATATTCGACAGAACGGTTTCAAGGGACTGAACCTCAACAGTTCTTGGAGCATTTCACTGCCAGTCCTGTTTGTAGCCAAGGCAAGGGCCTCAGATTCCACTTCCTTCAGGACATTCTGCACCATTAGTTCTGGAAATGGTTTAGGAAAAAAAGAAAGATAAGGTTATGTTTCCTCACTCAACCAAGGGTAAAAGGCGAGAAAGTGGAGACGTGCTAAAAGCCCCCACACTCTGGGGAACCCCCGCCTCCCAGCCCCAGTCTACTGTCTGTCCCGGGTTTTTGTTGTTGGTTTTTTTTGCCGGGACAGTAAGCTCTCTTGGACTTACCCCGAAGTTGCTACCTACCTCTTTCTTCCCCGATCTCAGGAGCCTCTTTCAGCGCCGAAAGCGCCCGGCGGAAATATCCCAAAGCTTCGGGGCTCAAGTGAAAGGGCGCCTCGAGAGCTGGTTCCGAGCGCCCATCCCGAGGCGGATGGTGTTGTCGCTCGCGACCTAGCGGGGGACGACCCGATCCCTTGGCCCCGCGCCGCCGTTTGCCACCAGCTGGGAACCGGCGCCCTGCCTCGCGCGAGGAGTGCGGACCAAGCCCCATGAGTGCTCCGACTTATTTCGGCTCGGAAAGTTGCCTTAGCCTTGTGTCTCGCGCCGGCGCTCTCAGGGCCCAGTGTAATACGTCATAGGTCCGCGACGGCGTCCAACTAGGACCTAAGCGTGTCCTCCAGATCGCCCCTCCTCCCAGTCCCAACCTCGGCTCCTGGCTCATGCACCTGAGCCCTGAGACCTAAGGAACCGCAGAACTTTAGCCCTGCACCAGCCTAAATCTTCCGAAGACTGCCTCCACATCGCTAGATCAGCTTGTTCTAGAACCCAGATTTCCAGCCTAGCCAGATTTACCCTGTCGCAATCCTAGTCATTTCGTCCCGCACCCTGAGCTAGAATCAAAGTTCCCGAGCTGCAGGTGTGGCGAGCTAGACGACGCAAGGACCCCAGAGGTTTCACAGGTCTCAGGTAAGGGGCGCAAGCTCCCCACTCAGCTGAGAGTCCCCCCAGGGCTTGCGCTTACCCTCGACTAGGAAGCTGCACCCTGGGCTCAGCGGGACTGCCTAGACTATCTAGCCAAGGACTGTATGCAGGTGCTCCTAGGGGCTACTGCGCCAGAACCCCAAACACAGTCAGTCCCATTTTAAGGATCCCAGTAGATGTCCAGTCCTGGACAGCCCCACCTGAGCCCTTCTTCTCTCCCTACACCAAACCAAACCAAACCCAACCCACTGCTATGAGTTCATTCTAACTCACATTTCCCTCGGAGGGACTGCTGGGTTTGAACAGCCGACCTTGCAATTACCAGCCCAACACTTAACCTACTGCAAAGGCTCCTTCTTCACTCCTTGTTATTGGGGCTAAGTGCCATCGAGATGGTTCCTATTCATAAACACCCTATGCAGGGTTTCTCAGGAGCAGCTGGAGGGTTTGAACCAACCTCTAACCTTGCTGTTAGCAATCTAGTGTTTATCCTACAGTGCCCCACTAGGACGCCTTCACTCCATAGACCTCCCAAAAGGGACAGTAGCCTTGTCCTGGCACCCTACTCAGTGATCCCATCTGAAATTTATCTTCTCCCCTCATAAGATCCCAATCTTTGCTCCCCTTATTGCTCCAGTTGCCCCCATTCCACACAGAATTTATAGGATCCCCTCAAAGCAATTCTTTGCTTCTTCAGTTTTTTCCATTTCTTTCTGAATCTTGACAGTTCCCATGAAGGGCCAAGTGTGTGTGGTAACTGGTGCCTCTAGAGGAATCGGTCGTGGCATCGCCTTGCAGCTCTGCCAAGCGGGAGCCACAGTGTACATCACTGGCCGCTATATGGACACACTCCGGGCCACTGCTGAGGAGGTGAGTGCTTCCGATGCCACAGTAGGAAGAATCACCTAAGTGAGCCTTTCGGATTAACTTTCCTTCTCCACTTCTCCTATAGTCCTTTACCCCACACCATAATGTTCCTCAACAAAACAGGAATACTTACTCAAAGTGGGCTACTTACTCAAAGTGGGCTAGATAAACACCATCAATAACGTTACATCAGGTCAAGTTTGGCCACTAAGTTTTACTTAAGAAAACTTTCTGTTTGAGCCCTTCTGGAATTTTGCAATGGCAACAGGGTTATAGACCTGTGCTTCACTCTGTATTGGGCAAAAATTTATTGAACTGTTTATTCTCATTTGCAATTTAGACTTCCCATGGATGAACCTGGGGGACACTGTGCTGAGTGAAATAAGTCACAAAAAGACAAATAATGCATGAGACCTCTACTGTAAAAACTCAGAAAAAGGGGTTTTTTTTGTTGTTGTTGTTGTTTGTTTGTTTTAAATGTTTTATTGTGAATTATATGATAGTTTACATGGAAGAACATTAGTTTTATATTCATCCTATCGTATATCATTTCATTGCCATGGTTACAATTCCCTCCGTGCATCATCAACCAACCAAAGAGTATATACCCTGCAAGCCTGCCCCTCTCCCTCTCTGGGTCTAAAGTCCTCAGCTGCTCCGTCTCTCCACGTCATCGTCTCTGCCTCCATCTTAGGCATCGCTGCTTCTCTGGGTAGGGTCCTGCTCTCTGATCAAGAAAAGGTTCTTATGGTAAAAAAAAAGAAAAATATTTGATGGTGGCAGTGAAGGGAAAGTACTTCACAGGCTAGAGGGTAGACACATGTTAACTCAGTGTGTGGGAGGGCAATATGCAAGAAAAGAGAGGTTGGCAGAAGAATAATGAAGATACATGAAGACACAGGGATGTATTCAAATGCTAAAGGGGTTAGAGGTAAATAGTGATATATACACAATCTTGGAACAGCAGTGTTCTGTAGGTAGATACATGAACAGAGACACAGGTTGAGTGGGTGTGTGAGGAAGAGTGGGATACATATTTATCAATGGAGAAGGATATCGTGTTTGGATATCGTGTTTGGAGGGTCAGAGATAAAGAGGAAGACCCCAACGAGATGGATTGGCGCAGTGGCAGCATCAGTGGGCTCACACATAGCAACGATTGTGAGGTTGGCCCAGGATTGGGCAGTGTTTTGTTCTGTTGTGCATAGGGTTGCTATGAGTCGGTACCAATTCCATGGCACCCAACAACAACAACATCACAAAAATAAAAGAGTTTGAAGGAAGATATTTGTACATGGGTATTTACCTTTCCAGCAAACACAACTATAAATGTGATGTAGCATACAGTGAATAAAATGATGAAAAGTTCTTAGATACTACCAAACATCTTAAGGCAATGAGTTGCTGGGACCGGGGTCTCAGAACCATAGTCTCAAGGTACATCATAGTCAACTGGCATAATGTAGGCCACAAAGATAGTGTTCTACATCCTACTTTGGTGAGTAGCAGCTGAAATCTTAAAAGCTCATGGGCGGCTGTCTGATAACAGCTATTGGTCTCTCCATGTGCGAAAGAAAGAAGAGTGGTAAGAATTGAAGAGGCTTGGAATCAATTAGTACAGTGTACTACTGGAACCTGTGAACATCTGTTCCCAAGACTCTGAAACCAGAAGAATTAGACGGTGCCCAGCTACCACTACCAACTGCTCTGAAAGAGGAGCACATTAAAAGGTCTGGGGTAGAGTGGCAGAAAATGTGGAACAAAACTCAGTGGGTTTTTTTTGTTGTTGTTTTTTGTTTTTTTTAACAAAGACCAGGCTTACTGATCATAAAGAGATGGGAGAAACCTGAGACTATGGGCCTTGACCACCCCTCAGGCCTGGAAAGGAACTCTCCTTGTGGCCCAATTTTCAACCAAGCAGTAGATGGATATGTGGCAGGGACAATACTGGTGAGGTGTGCTCACCATGGAATGGTTAATCATTCAAAATCAAAAGGGCAACATTTACCCAAGGACAAAGTTGAGAAGGGATGCAAAGGGGGTTGGAATGGAAATAGAACCCCAGGGAGGAAATGGGATCACTGTTGTTGCATGGAGGGGATTGCAATCACGGAGATGAAGCAAAGTGTGTGATTTTTTAAAATGTGAAACTGATGATCTTGTAGTAAACCTTCACTGAATTCATAATAAAATCTTAGGCTTCCCTACTAGATTTCAGTGCAATAAATATTTGGGTGCCTGTGATTTGCAGGCACTAGGAAAAGCACTGAAATTGCCAAGGTTACTGAAATATAATCTCTACTCTTAAAAGATAAAATTCAAAAAGAAACCAGATGCAGAGACTGATCATCGCAATGTAATATGAACATGGTAAATAGTAAGAGGAAGGTGTGCATGGAATATACTGAAAGTGCAGAAGGGGACCATGGAGATCATATGAGGAATGGTCAGGTAAAGTCCCTGGAGAAGGTGGTTTTTAAACTGAGTCTTAAAAGGTGAGAAACAGGTAAGGAAATTTAGGAAAGCCTTTAGCAAAGGGGGATCCACAAGCAGACAGACAGTGAGTGATGACAGAATGTGTTTGTCGTGACAAGTACTGTCAGAACCTAAGAGAACAGTGTGGGCAGGAAGCAGAGAATGGGTCTTAGAAAGCTGTGGTAGAGAACACTGACTTTATTCTTTAAGAGATGGGGATTGTTTTAGTGAAAACACTAGACTGAACTCCAATAGAAATTGAAACAAAAATCTTATTGAAAGAATGAAAATCATTTTGTGAAATGGGAAAATATTTACAGACATCCATGCAAAATTTTCCCATGCAGGGAGAACAGTAAGGGTTTAAAATCATGTATTTAAAAAAAGATTAAGGAGCCTGGTAGTGTAGTGGATTACAAAATGGACTGCTAACTGCAAGGTCAGCAATTTGAATCTACCAGTTGCTCTTTGGGAGAAAGATGAGACTTTCTGCTCCTGCAAAAATGTACAGCCGGAAACCCTACACTGGCTCACTCTGAATCCGAACCAACTGGGAGGTACACCACCACTACCAACCACCAAACAAAAGATTTGTGCCGACAGGCACATGGGGAGGGAGAGGAATCATGGCAACAGTTACAATGCATTTGTTAAATTACAAACTAAAACATTTTCTTAGCATCATAAACTTTTTTGTTACATTCTGAGTTCTGAGGTTATAATATCCTGAGAACTGTTTAATAAAGCTTCATGCCAGGGGCTAATTTTCTGTTACACCTGCAGTCTAACAAACTTAGTCTTTTCCTTAGTAACAACTTTACAAAGTACTGAGGTGTTCCGCTCCAGTAAAGATTTATAGCCTCAACAGGGTCCTGTCGTGTAGCTATGATCAGACTACTCCACAGCACACCACCAGTAGAAACACAGTACAAAATCCCAGGGAGTTAAACTGTAATTTGGGAGTCTTGATACATACTTTGCTATAAAGTTATTTACATGTTCTAACTTCATTTAACCTTTTCAGTTCTGTTTCCTAACTTCCTGCTGACCAAGGCACCTGCCTTCTCTGCAGCCAGCTGCACAAACATTCTTAACAGGCAGCAAGCAATTCTTTATCCAGGTTAGAGATCCTGACTTTTGCCTTCTTTGTTTTTCAAGCAGCAACACTTTTGACAAAAAGACTGAATGCCTTCTTTAAAAAATTAGAAATGAAAAAAAAATTATAAATCAATACTTAGTTTAATTCAAAATGGAGTTGTTAACTTCCTTCTGAAGTCACCCAATTCAGATGTGCCAGTATCTCATGAGGTTTTTGAAACGTTTACATCCTCAGGATCCAGTTGGAACTGAAGAATAAAATGGCCAGATCTGTGTTTGAGATTGTTCTTACTGACTGTGGTCATGGTCATTGTTGTTGTTAAGTACCGTGGAACCAGTTCCAACTCTTAGTGAGTGATGGTTATATGCTGTGTAGTGATGGTTGTGTGCCGTGGAGTCGGTTCTGACTCATAGCGACCCTGTACAGGGTTTCCGAGGCTAGAAATCTTTACAGGAGCAGAAAGCCTCATCTTTCTCCCACGGAACGGCTGGTAGCTTGGAACTGCTGGTAGCTTGGAACTGCTGGTAGCTTGGAACTGCTGGTAGCTTGGAACTGCTGGTAGCTTGGAACTGCTGACCTTGAGGTTGTTGTTGTTGTTGTTGTTGTTAAGTGCCGTCGAGTCGGTTCCGACCCATAGCGACCCTGAACAGGTTTCCGAGGCTGTAAATCTTGACGGAAGCAGAAAGCCTCATCTTTCTCCCGCAGAGCAGCTGGTAGTTTCGAACTGCTTTATTGACTATAGTGTGTAGAATTAATTTAGGGTCAGGCGAGCAGTCAGAAGGCATTATAGCAGCTCAGGCAAGAAGGTAAAAGGTGGAATCTGGAGCATGAATCAGGAGGATAGGAGGTTTGTTCTTGAATAACTCACCAGTCTTCCTCTGAAGTTAGAGGAGGGAGAGCATTTATAAAGAACACAGCCGAATGGGAAGTAGAAATATGTCCTGCATAAGAGCTTTGATATCTCAGTTACCAAGAGATAGAATGATGGTAAGAGGACTGGAATCATATGGTAGCTCAAGGTGAGTGATGGGAGATGGGAACCACCAAAGATAAGGAAAGGATAGTTACTCATTTCTCTAGAGAATTTTCCTCCTATTTGTCCTTAAAGTGCAGTGAATGTTCATTCTAAATAAGAGATCCCGATCCACCTGGCTCTGGAGCCTACGGAGTGGAGGAAGGACTATCATTCATGAAACTCCTCAAATAGACACCAGAGGGCAGTATGACCTGACATGTTCCCTCAGTTGGTAGCTATGCCTGCTGTGGCTCCCAGGCCCACTTTGGCTGGGGAAGTTACATTATGTCATAGGCAACTGTGAATTTATATGCCCTCTGTCCCTCTCCAGGCACAATCCCGAGGAGGCCGATGTGTGCCCGTGGTGTGTGATTCAAGCCAGGAGAGCGAAGTGCGAAGCCTGTTTGAGCAGGTGGACCGTGAGCAGCATGGGCGCCTGGATGTGCTAGTCAACAATGCCTATGCCGGGGTCCAGGTGCACTTTGAACTCTAATCCCAGCTCCGTGCTTCTGACTTCCCCTCGAACTCCTCTCATTGTCCCATCTGTTACCCAACCCCTCATACCCTCTTGCCTTCAGACCATCACCCTCCTCATGCCTTCTAGGTGATCCTCAACAACAAGAAAGCGTTCTGGGAAAGCCCCACCTCCTTGTGGGATGACATCAACAATGTCGGACTCAGGTGGGTGCCCCCCCTTGCCCCATTACATGGGCCTCAGCTCCCCTTGTTCCTTTAGCCAGACCAAAGGTTGAGGACTGAGGCCTTGCTGCATAAGCCCTCCTCTCCTGTTCTTTCTAGCCCTCCCCTATCTCTTCTCCTTTCTGTCCCATTTGTCCTACCAAACACATCTGTAGAACTGTCTTCCAGGTACATCTACACCTGGCAATGTCAACTTTTGCCTTTTTTCTATCAGTCATTTTTATCAGAATAAGCCTTTGGCTGCTCTCCTTCCTTGGTAGTGGTGATGGTTCTGTGCCGTGGAGTCGGTTCTGACCCATAGCCACCCTATACAGAGTTTCTGAGGCTGTAAATCTCTACGGGAGCAGAAAGCCTCATTTTTTTCTTGCAGAACAGCTGTTAGTTTTGAACTGCTGACCTTAAGGTTCACAGCCCAAATCGTGGAAGCCTCCTTCCCTCAATAGGTACACCAAAATGGCTAGAGTTAAAAAATGGCTTTACTTTAGATCCAGACAAGATTAATAAGAAAAAGTGAGTGCCAGCCCTCCTTTCCACATCCTAACTCCTGACCCATAGACATACATGGGTATTCCCAGATCAGAGGAGAGGAAACAGGGTTGTCAAGAGACCCACTTATTTGACACAGGAGTGAAGGAAAAAACAACATTTGGGATTGATGCAACCTAATATGTACCAGCTGAGTCCTTGGGTGGAGCCAGTGCTTACTGTGCTTGGCTATTAACCAGAAGATTGAAGATTGAAATCCACCCAAGCAAGGTACCTCAGAAGAAAGGCCTGGTGATCTACTTCCGAAAAGGCAGCCATTGAAAATTCCATAGGACACAATTCTGCTTGGATGCAAATGGGGTCTTCATGAGCCAGAACTGACTCGATAGCAACTGGTTTGGGTTTTATGTCTCTGTCTATTACTAATTTATCATTATTTATCCCTCAGATAATTAAACTACACTCAATGAACGTGGGAGCATTCAAGAGATTATCTATAAATCTGTGATGAGTGTTTAAGAACACCACGGCTCCAATTCTGGTACTCTGAAAGCAATCCAAAATATGCAGGAATAGAGTGTGGTTATGATTTCCAAAATGGAAGAAAGATTGTACGTACAGAGGGAGATGATCAGCCTAGAGGCATGAAAAGAAAGCTCAGAGATCTGGAAATTGGCAGTGCCCACTTCCATAGCCCTCCAAAGAGAGGGTCTTTCCACATCCTCATCTCTTGAGGCTCAGGATTTTGAGCCCACGGGCCGAGGCTCAGACCCCCAGACCCTGGGCCCTGATGAATTAATTGTCCAAGTAAAGGCCACATTATAATAATCCTGGTAGCCCACCAATACCTATCACTGCAGCCCCTCGCCCCCACATACACACACATTCATAGCACCTTTCCTCTGCGTTACCTTGGACTGGGCCTTCCTTTTGAAACTCTAACTCTATTTGTTTTAATTTTGTTAAGTGCCACCGAGTTGGTTCCAACTCATAGCAACTTGTATAGGGTTTCTGAGGAGTGGCTGAGGAGTGTGTTTGAACCGTATCTTACATCTGGACTTGTTTTAATTTGGAAGATCCTAATTGTTCCCAATACAGGGTCGCTGTGGGTTGGAATTGACTCGAAGGCACTTAACAACAACACCAATTGTTACCCATGGCAAAAGAATTGTTTGTTTTTATTACCAAATATGTATTATACAAGAGGACTTCAAAAAGTTCATGGAAAAATGGAATTAAAAGATAATGGAATTTTTCCACAAAACAAAAATCAAAAGACCTGTGTAATCTTATTTTTCTCACTACTACTCATCCCTCCTTCCCTGGAGCTTGTTGTTGTTGATAGGTGCTATCAAGTCTACGCCAACTTGTAGTGATCCTGTGTACAACAGAATGAAACTCTGCCCAGTCCTACACCATCCTATCCTCACAATTGTTGTTGCGCTTGAGCCCACTGCTGCTGCCACTGTGTCAATCCATATCGTTGGGGGTCTTCCCTCCACTTTACCAAGCATGATTTTTCCTCCTGATAATATGTTCAAAGTATGAGAGACAAGTTTTGCCATCTTGGCTTCTAAAGAGCATCTGGCTGTCCTTCTTCCAACACAAATAGCTATGAATAATCTGGGATGTGGCACTGTAGGATAAACACTGGACCGCTAACCACAAGGTCAGCAGGTAAAACCCACTAGCCACTACTCAGAAACCCCATATAGGCTTGCTATGAACTGAAACTGACTTGACAGCACTTAACAACGACATAGATTCTTTCCGATTTTTCTCATAAATAGCTCTCATTCTTTTTAATATCTAGAAAATAGTCTAGTGGGCGTATAAAAGATCCCATTAGTTTATAATGGCATGAGAACAAAGGAGAGTATCTTTCCCCCATGTCCTCAATAGTGCAAGACTTTCCATCTTTATCAAAACCCTAACAAGTCAAAAATATCTCAATGTTGTCTTCATTGACATTTCTTTAATTATTAGTGAGGTTGAGCTTTTTTTCCCTTTTATTTATTGACTGTATTCTTTTATGAATTAACATTTGTATTATTACATTAGTCTTTTTTTTTTAAGCTTTAAATGTGAATTGAGTGACAATTTACATGGGAGAACACCAGTTTTACACTCATCCTATAGTATTTTGTTTCATTGCAATGATTACAATCCCCTCCCTCATTATCATTCAACAGTATTTGCGTCTATTCCCTGTTTGTTTATTTTTTGATGTGCACAAAAACACTCAGGAGTATATAATCATTTAAACAACCCAAAAGAACATTCTACAAGCCTGCCTCCTGGCCACCAGCACACAGCCTTTCTCTTTCCATGAGTCTAGAGTCCTCAGCTGCTCTATCTATGTCCTCATCTCTGCCTCCATCTTTGGTGTCGCTGCTTCTCTGGATAGGATCCCACATTCCGCTCATGCTCTTCTCCCTTGATGGTCCTAGGAACCTCTTTTCCTGGACTGTAAGATGAATTACTCCCCCCTTTATGTTACAAACCTTCTACCTTTACAGTTTTGATAATCACTATTAGTCATGATAACAATAACTCATACATTAGTCTTTTCACACTGATTTATAAGAGATCTTTGTACAACAAGATTTCTTTGACATATATTTTATAAATATTTCCTCCATTTATTTTTTTGCATGCAAACTGTCCACACACTGTATATATCCAAACCCACTGCCATCTAGTTGATTCCAACACAGTCACCCTCTACATAGAGTCTGAGACGGTAAATCTTTACTGGAGCAGACAGACCCATCTTTCTCCAAGACACTGTATGTAAATTGTTGATAAGTGCCAGCTCATAGTGACCCTGTGGTTTACAGCTAGTGTTGAAGCCACCACATGCCCCACTCCACCTATTGTTATTGTTGTGTGTGCCATTGAGTCAGTTCCAACTCATAGTGGCTCGGTGTAGGATTTTTGAGGAGCAGCTGGTGAGTTTGAACCACCAACCTTGAGGTTCAAACTGACCTTGAGGTCGAGTGCTTGTCCTGCGGCGCCACACCAAGACTCCATATATACTCACACACACAAACACACACACACACACACATATATATATAACAAAATGTTCATTGAAAAAATGGATTTACAAGATAATACAATTTTTCCACACATTTTTTGAGGCTCTCTCATGTGTATGTGTGTGTATGTATGTATATGTTTTACTTTTAGAAATCAAATCTGTCTTTTTTTCTTATAGTTTCTATTTTGGTGGTGGTGGTGGTGGTGTTAAGTGGCATCAAGTCAGTTTCAACTCATAGCAACCCTGTATAGGGTTTCCAAGGAGTAGGTGGTGAGCTTGAACCACAGACCTTTCAATTCAAACCAGCCTTGTAATCCAGCACATTAACCCACATACTAAGAAAATTCCTTCTTACCTGAAGTTTATTAACAGCTTCATGCATGTTTTCTTTTTTAATGTTTAATACATTTGTGCTTCCATTTTTTATATTCAAATACTTAATCCTTTTGGAATTCATTTTGCAGTAACAAGTGAAGTAGAGAGCCAGCACCTCACCCACCCCCACTGTGGCTGGCCAGTCCTCCTGAATGTATTTCTTGAAGGAGCCATCTTTCCCCATTGACTTGAAATGCTCCCTTTATATACACTGTATTCTCATTCAAACTTTCATGTGATTCTTGACTATTTTGTTCCACAGACTTGTCTGTCTGGTAAGAGATACAATGTCATTACTGTCCATTTTAGTACACGAGGGGAACACATCCTCCTTACTCCCCATACATTGTTGTTCTTTTTTCAGGGTTTTCGTAGCTAGTCTCACAGTTTATGCTCATTGAGGTTTTGATTATTTTATCAAGTCCTCCAAAATTCTTCCAGAAATCAAAATATAGACATAAAATTTAATGTAATGTATTGATTGACTTCATTAGAATTGATGTTTTACATGTTGCTTCTTTTTATCTGTGAACAAATTCTGTCTGCATTTGTTTCTATTGGACAGAATTTACAGGGTTTCTTTCTTTTTTTACATTTGTAAGTCTCCTATACATTTCTTGGGAGTCCTAGTGTGGTGCTATAGGATAAGAACTGCAAGGTTGGCAGTTCAAACCTTCCAGCAGCTCCTCTGTAACCCTATACAGGGTAGCTGTGAGTCAGAACCAACTCAATGACACTTAACAACAACAACATGCATTTAAGTATCCTCCCCCATCACCCCAGGTATTTTATGTTTGTCATTACTACTGTGAGTTTTATTCCATCACATCTTCTAACCATTAGTATTTCTCATCTGCCCTTGGTTGGTTTTTCTCTTTCGTGTCTGCAGTCTTTCCTCTGCTGATTACAGCCACTAGAGGGCAGAGGATGCCTATGGTGTAGGGAGAAGGGGCACTGAAGCAGCAGCCGAGCACTGAGCCGTGTTCATTCCTTTTTCTTCCCCCATCCTGTCTTCCAGAGGCCACTACTTGTGCTCCGTGTATGGGGCACGGCTGATGGTACCAGCTGGCCGAGGGCTCATCGTGGTCATCTCCTCCCTTGGGGGACTGCAGTATGCCTTCAACGTTCCCTATGGTGTGGGCAAAGCTGCGGTGAGGACCCAGTGGCAGATGGCCTAGAAAGCATTATGGAACTGTAATATTACCCATGGCTCAGGAAATACAGTCGGAACGATAAGGCCGCCCCTCTCCTTCTGCCCCTCTGTGGACAGTTTCTTTGCTTGGGCTTCTCTGCACCAGCCAGAGTAGCATCTCAATGGAGAAGGTGGGCTGTTGAGCTCTCAGGGCTCCAAGGATGGACAGGGGGCAGAGAAGGGGTAGAGAAGGAAGATGACATGGCCAAGTGCTCTGATGCTCATCCTGCCTCTGTCCCTCCACAGTGCGACAGACTTGCTGCTGACTGCGCCCATGAGCTGCGACACCATGGGGTCAGCTACGTGTCTCTGTGGCCGGGGCTGGTGCAGACAGAACTGCTAAAGGAGCACATAGCCAAGGAGGACACTACTGAGGATCCCCTGATGAAGCAGGTTGGCAAAGGGAGAGGGTGTGAGAGGCAGAGAAAGCAGAGGAAGCAGCCTCTCCAGCCACAGTGATATGACCATCGCAACAGCAATAGTAACTACTCCAGCCCATCGAGTACTTACTGTGGCCAGAGCACAGAGCTGAGCCATATACACAGGCTAGTTCCCTTCATCCTGTAAGGAAGATACAATCTCCACTTTACAGATGGAGAAACTGAAGCTCAGAGAGGGTAAGGAGCTTGCTCAAAGTCACATGTCCTAACTAGGAAGGCTTACTAGGAAAGTAGAAAGGCTGTAGAGCTCTGGAGCCCATGCTCTTGGCCCCCACATTGAACTACTAACCTGAAAGGTCCAGACATCAGTCAGCACCCCCAGATCCTCCCATTCCAGAAAGACAGTGGGCCCTGATACCAGGGTATAGGCTCATTAGGATGTGGGGGAAGGGTGGGTCCTGCCCTGGAGCAAGGATGACCTCTCCTTGTGTAGAAGTTGAAGGGGGGTGGGGGGGAGGATGCTTTTGAATATTAACTCTTCATTTCTCTGTCCTGTGTTTCAGATCAAATCTGTTTTCTCATCTGCGGAGACCACGGAAATGAGTGGCAAATGTATTGTGGCTTTGGCAACAGGTGACAAGGTTGGGGACAACTGGCCACAAGAAAGGGCATGGAGGATATGCAGGACAGTGTCAGCCAGAGCTGGGTCCTGGTTTGGGAAATGGCTTAGGAATAAACTCTTCTTTTCTTTAATGTCTAGAGGCCCAAAGGGTCAGGATTCGCAGTGTGAGGTTTGGAACCCTTAGGGAACTGGTTGCTAGGTGGTGTGGTTAGGAGCCAGGGGCCCAGGAACCTTCCCAAAACTGAATTCTTAGTGGTGCCCTGCCCATTGAGCCCGAACCCTGTTCCCCTGCGCTGCTCCTGTGTCATCTCCAGCTATACATGTGCTCACAGACCCTGATATCCTGAGCCTGAGTGGGAAGGTGCTGCCATCCTGTGACCTTGCTCGACGCTACGGCCTCCAGGATGTAGATGGTAAGAGCAGCTCAGTTCCTGCGTACTCCTCCTCGCTCTTTCTGTGTCCCTTCTCTCCTCACATCCCACTCAATCTCTTCAGCCAAGATTGGGGTGTCCAATGGGTGAGAGATAAGGGTCTAATCCTCCTCGTCTTCCTCTTGTCCCCAGGCCGCCCCGTCCCAGATTTTCTGTCAGTGAGTTCTCTTCTCACCCACGTCCCCAGCCTGAGTTGGCTGGCCTCCTACTTGCCGGGCTTCCTCCGCATGCCCAAATGGATCATGACCCTCTATGCTAGCAAATTCTAATGCGCCTGGCCTGGTGTCTAACTCTACATCTCCTACAGCTAAGGGTGGCCTTTCTCGGTGGAACAAGACAGATTTTCTCATCCATTCAGATGCTCGACATGCTGTGCATCCTTAATGAGTTTCAGGGACCCTCACAGGTCCTTCTTTGTGTCTTTGCTTTCCTTGTACCAACATTTTATTTTGGACATTTTACCTTTGCACGAATCGGGCTGCAAACCTTAAGGTCAGCAGTTCGAAACTACCAGCTGTTCCACGGGACAAAGATGAGGCTTTCTGCTCCCCTAAAGACTTACAGCCTCAGAAACACTGTTGCTATGAGTTGGAACCAACTCCAGGGCACATAACCACCACCACTACCACCTTTGCATTGAAATGTGCCTTGGGCGTTAATAAAGGTCTCATTTATCCTTCAGCATGTTTTTGAGTACTGATTTTGCCCTCCACAAAATGTGAAGTATTTGGAAGACTCAAAGCTGTGCAAACATTGCAGTTCTCAGGAGCTCTGTCCCCAGGACCTGTTCCATGCTTCCACAACCCTAGGCAGGAGCACACCCTCACCTCAAGCTGCTGTCCCACCCCTCACTCCTCATCTCTTCAGGGGTTCCTGCTGCCTTCTAGATGGCTCTGACCAAGCAGTAGTGGAGTTTATGATTTCCAGGAATGTGGGAGGCAAATTCTATCCAAGTCCAAGTCAGAGGTAGAGGCGGGAGCTGGTATTGAATCTGACACTTATTTCCTTCCTGCCTGTACGAAAACAACCTGGATAACTTTCTGCAGAACTGACTGCATGAGTCTTTTGAGCTGTCTTCCTGATCAAGGCCTTGTTCCAGCCTGAGTCAAGTTGACAGGGGCTGTGTTCCAAGAGAAGCCAAACACCATTCTGAGGGAGCATTCCAGCCACCATTAACCAGGAAAGGTGATGGATGCAGGGACTGATCAAAGGATCTGAGGTTCCAACTTGCAGAACAAGTCACTGAGGAAAAATTAAAATGGGGTCCTGAAGGCCCCTTTGGACCTGTGAGTGGGGAGGAGGTCACTGACAGGAAAGTGGAATGGTGAGGTGAGGTGTGGTGAGTGACTGGAGTCAGAGGTCAGGCACAGTGAGTGAAAAATATGCTCGGAAGCCCCACAGGAACCTGGGCCCAATGCAAGAAGCAGTGGCAGAGCCCAGAGCTGTCCTGCCTTCCTTACCCCGCTCCCACTTATCTGTAACCCACCAAGGCCTTGGCATTGTCTGAGGTATTATGTGAGATATCTGGTCCCTTCATTTGTTTGGCCTCACATTCCTGGAGAGCCCCCCACCCCCACCCCATGGCGACCTCAGGATTCACTTTGCTGCAGCTCCACCCACACTGTCCATCCCTGTCCTCAACCCCACACCCCAACATACTGGCTCCTCCTCCTTGAGTCATTTTACTCATGCCCTCTCAGCCTTCCCATCCTTCCCAGATGCTCCTCAGCACACCCTCATCTCTTCCCCACAAGCCCCTCTGCTTCCTGGGATATCTGCTTCCCATTCAGTCTTTGCTGCAGCTGCCTCTGGGTATGGATATGAGCTCTGGGTTAGGACTGGGTGGGGAGGGACAGGGACTATAGGCAGGCCATATATGAGACAAAGGTCCACTTTCAAAGTGCTCTCTAAAATTGAAGAATTGCTGGGTGGTATGACAGAACTGTACAACACATCAGGGACCACGGGAGGACCAGGAAATCAAGCACAAGTGAGTTCACCTGGCTCTCCTCCCCAGCCTGGGAAACCTCCCTGCGGTGGTTGTAAGATTGCTATCCTTTCCTTTCTCTATAAAACTTCATCTCTGCAGCAATTCTTCACCTCAGGCAACCAGGGGCACCTGGTCTTCCCTTTCCCTCCCTGATCCCCTTGACCTGCCACGCACACATGCCTGTGGGTCATCCCCAGCACCTCAGGACCTCCAGCTTGACCAGTCTGACCTGGCCCATGTTGAGCTGCAGAGGAGGCAGGAATTGGTTGGGATTGAGCCAGGACTAAGGAAGGGCACAGACTGTCTTCTGTCCACTGGATGGCCTTGTTGGATAGAAGGCCATGGCCCTTGGCATCAGGAAATTCAACATGGGCCCACTGTGAAGGTAAACAATTGTTACCAGCCAGGGCCCAGGCAAAGGCCCATCTCAGAGTCAGGTGAAGAGGGACTGAAAGATAAACTTGGTAATTGGGGAATCTGGGAGAGAAAAGAGACCTGTGTTAGGCTTGGTCAGCTTTGTATGATTTTTGTCAGCAAGTATGAACACGCACACCCCTATCTGCAAATGAATAGATCTTGGATCCTCCTCACAGGAAAGGTGGTTCCAGAATAAACAAGCAAAGTCAACCTCAACAGACAGACAATGCCAAGAGGTAGGTGTGGCTGTGCCTGGTGGTGCCAGCATCCTCCGAGGGGCTTGTGCAAGAGTTACAAAGGTGACTTGGCATGGACTTTGGCTGTCAGTTTAACATATCACTACAGGGGGTGAGATAATTCATGCTTACTGAATGCCTGCAATCACCTCAACACTTTACCGGGGTCTTAGTTCTGCCAAATGATATAAGGAATGTCACCTTCGTTGTTTACAGCTAAGGAAACTGACTCCAAAAAATTGATGAATCTGGCCGGGTTACAAATCTAAACAGCAAGTAATATCTGGATTTAACCAATCTGATTCCCAAGTGCATTCTTTCCCCTGCATCACGCTTTTTTTTCTTTTTTGTGAAGTGGGGGTTGGTAGGGAGGGAGTAAGGAGTCCTGGTGATGTACTTGGTTAAGCACTCAGATGCTAATTAAAAGGTTTGCAGTTATTGGTCAGTGGTTCTTGGCCATGGTATCCTGCTTCAACAATGTTTGAACAGAATTCGGCAATTGCCAGCCTTCCCACAACTGGCCACTCCCAACCAGCCTTCCACCACCTCCCAGCAGCGCCCTCAGACACCTGAGGGCCCCCACTGCTACTGCAGCACTGCGCAGTCCCTGTGGTGATGACAGACCCCATCCCCGTCCAAGATGCGCCGGAACGACAACCAGAATTTGGAGGTCACCTTCAACCGCCAGTTCAATCTGGAGCTCTTTGCCTCGTGCATCTAGCTGTCCATGTCTTACTGCTTCAACCGCAAGCAATTATGTGGCTTTGAAGAATCTGACATTTTTTCTCACAGATTTCGCCAGGAGCGAGAACATGCAGACAAACTGATGAAGCTGCAGAACGAATGAGGTGGCTGAGAATTTCCCTTCAGGATATGCATGACTGGGGCTGAATGCAAAGCAGTGTTGGTTACATTTGGAGGAAGTGTTCATCAGTCACTACTGGAATTGCACAAACTGGCTATAAGGGAGTCAAAACGGGAACTGGAATTCTTCCCAGCCAACTTTCTTTCAGCTAACAGCCCAAGCCCAAACCGAACCCACTGCCATGGAGTGGATTCCAATTCATTGTTGTTGTTGGTAGGTGCCATTGAGTCAGTACAGACTCACAGTGACCTTATGCACAGCAGATCGAAACACTGCCTGATCCTGGGCCGACCTCACTACCATTGCCACACTTGAGTCCATCGATGCTGCCACTTGGCCAATCCATCTTGTTGGGGGTCTTCTTCTTTTTCTCTGATCCTCCACCTTACCAAACATGATATCCTTCTCCAGCGACTGGTCCCTCCCGACAGTAGGTCCCAAGTATGAGAGATGAAGTTTGACCATCTTGGCCTCCAAGGAGCACTCTGGCTGCACTTCTTCCAAAATGGATCTATTGGTTCTTTTGGCAGCCCACGGCACTTTCAATATTCTCCTCCAAC